GACGTATTTTTTCTATAAAATATCTAAAAGAAAAACTAAAAAACCTTGCGTCGTATAAATCGAAATGACGGGTGTTATAAGTTTGGCCTATGGGATGAGCATTTGTTCCCCACTTACATCTGATTCTAAGCTTAGTATTCATCTTGATTACCAACTGAATCAGGCTGTGCCACAAGCTAGGTTTTTAACGTGTTGACTCGAGTGTCTCCACTCGGGCCGCTGATCGAAGATGATCTTAGCTGGTCATAGCTTGCCTAAGCTAGTCATAGCCGTTCAAACCTCCTGCTACGGAACAGCTATTACGGAACAACTCCGAGGATTCTGTCCACGCAACGGCGGTCGGGGAGAGCGTAAGAGAAAAGAGAAAATATCCGGAACGGAACAGATACTACATCCGTATCATCTACTCTGACTGGGAAAAATGTTAAAAAATCTTAGAAAATGCCATGGGATCTGTGAGGTAAAGTGGGTGTCGTAAGTCAATTAAATTATCCTAGCTTATCACCTCCTGACTTGAAACATGAAGATATTTGTAGTTGTTTTTTTGTTGTTTTTTTTTAATTTTTTGTGTGATTTTAATTCAAGGACATTTTTGTATCCAGGTATATTTTAAACACATATACATACATACACATACCCATTTTGCACACACACACACACACACACACACACACACACACACATACCATATATATTTATATATATATATATACATACCTTACCTGAGTCTGGTAGGTCAATGTTCAACAACCGTCGTTACTAATGTCATTCTTCCTCTGTCAATGTCGACTTTGAATGTTTTTTTGTTGAGTTGCATACGATTGATTCCTGAAGAAAACACCTGACGAGCACTGGGGCGGGGAGGAACCATGGAGGAACCATGCCGAAGGGCGGAGTTTAGTTTTTAAATACTAAATCGGCCCTGAACCCGTTTATACAGGTTCAATTGGTTTTTTTTGGCCCGAGATTACGGGCTCATTATCTCACGTAAAAAAAGGCCTTTTGCCACATTTAACCCCCAGTGGTGGTGGGGGTATGACTAAATATCTCGGTCGTTCAATTCCTGACCGGCTGTTCGGTTGAACTCTCTGCCTTCGTGCGGGGTGGGACTTTTGAAGGAGGGCCGATTCTCTTTCAGGGAGGTAAACCGACCCTGAAACCGTTTATACAAATGTTCAATGGGCATTTTTTTGTTGCCGAGGCCACGGGCTCGGAGATCCCACGTTAAACCGGCCTTGTAAACATGATTTTAAACGTGGAAATGGTGACTAAATATAGTCAGTCGTTCAAGTCCTGAACGACTGTTCGGTTGAACTCTCTTGCCTTCGGGCGGGGAGGAACCCGAACGAGGCTACGCCGAAGGGCGGAGTCTATTTCGGGGAGGTAAACCGACCCTGAAACCGTTTATACGGGTTCAATGGGCATATTTTTGGGCCGAGCCCACGTGCTCGGTAATCCCACGGGCTCGGAGATCACACGGGCTCGGAGATCCCACGTTAAAAAACCGGCCTTGTGCCACATGATGCCCCAGTGTGTGGGGGGTGACTGAATATCGTTAGTCATTCAAGTCGAGTCAGTAGTCCAAGTCGAGTCAAGAGTCGAGTCAGAGGCAGTCCGAAGCAGCGTCGCGTTCAGACAATTACTACAAGACATTGGAATAGTGATACTGGTCGAGACTACATTGTTCTCTCTACTAAACCTGATTGTTCATACTAACACTTACTACTTCTCTGTATATATTCCTGTTTGTAATATATCTGTGTTATTCCATATCCGCCTTCAAAAATCTTCTTTATTGGTTCTACCTTGGACTATCACAGTGGTACAAGGAATCCGGACCATAACAATAAGTTATTCTTGATTCAGAAGAGTGGAGAAGACGTAGATTCCAACCTTTCATAGGTGTATTAGCACATAACTGAATGTACTGAACTCAATTGGAATTCGAATTAGATATAAAACTATCTGTTAGTTTCCCGATTGTTCAATCCGAGCCGATATCCATTACTACATCATGATTCTCCTAATTGATACATTCTAAATAATTAAGTTAAATTTGGGACTTCTCGGTCTGTGATGAGTCTGGTGATTAGTCAGGGTTTCATGGTGAAATATGGTAATCAGGTGGTAAAATTTGGGATTTGTGGTGAGCCCATGATACACGAGAAAAAAAAAAACAACTTTTTACCAATTTCTTACTTTAATTCCTTTATTTTTATTTATTTTTTTTTTAATTTTGGTGGGTAGGGCGACTAATACAGCGGCGGAACGTCATATAATTAGCGAAATACTGTTTGGGAAAATGTCCATGACGATATTTTGCCCTAATTTAATGAAAGGTTACCAAATACTAATAATAATAATAATAATTAGTAGTAGTAAAACCTTTGAACTCAAACACGATATAAAATTGACTATGAGGTTTTCATGACATTAATTTTGGAATATAATTATTTCTTTATTTACAATATTTCAAAATTAATGTTTCATGCCATTACTTTTGGAATAGAATTATTTCTTTATCTACAATCTTTCAAAATTAATGTTTCATGCCATTACTTTTAGAATAGAATTATTTCTTTATCTACAATCTTTCAAAATTAATGTTTCATGCCATTACTTTTAGAATAGAATTATTTCTTTATTTACAATCTTTCAAAATTAATGTTTCATGCCATTACTTTTGGAATAGAATTATTTTTTATCTACAATCTTTTCAATCATTTTCAAAATTAATGTTTCATGCCATTACTTTTGGGAATAGAATTATTTTTACAATCTTTCAAAATTAATGTTTCATGCCATTACTTTTTGGTATAGAATTATTTCTTTATTAAAAAATTTTTTTTGAATAATTCAAAATTAATCTTTCATGCCATTATTACTTTTGGAATAGAATTATTTCTTTATTTACAATCTTTCAAAATTAATGTTTCATGCCATTACTTTTAGAATAGAATTTAATTTTTTTTTCAAAATACAATCTTTCAAAATTAATGTTTTCATGCCATTACTAGAATTTTGGAATAGAAATATTTTCATGCTTTATTTTATTTATTTTATTTAAATCTTTCAAAATTAATGTTTCATGCCATTACTTTTGGAATAGAATTATTTCTTTATTTAAATCATTCAAAATTTGTTTCATGCAATCTTTCAAAATTAATGTTTCATTTAAATTATTTTGATTACTTTTGGAATAGAATTATTTTGGAATATTTTATCTACAATCTTTCAAAATTAATGTTTCATGCCATTACTTTTGGAATAGAATTATTTCTTTATTTTCTTTCATCTTTCAATTACTTTCAAAATTAATGTTTTCAAAATTAATGTTTTGGAATAGAATAGAAATTTTTTTATTTACAATCTTTCAAAATTAATGTTTCATGCCATTACTTTTGGAATAGAATTATTTCTTTATCTTTATTTTTTCATAAAATCTTTCAAATTTCTTAATTTAAATTTTCAAAATTAATTTTCATTTAGAATAGAATTATTTCTTTATTTACAATCTTTCAAAATTAATGTTTCATGCCATTACTTTTGGAATAGAATTATTTTTTATTTACAATATTTCAAAATTAATGTTTCATGCCATTTGCGCAGAATAGAATTATTTCTTTATTTACAATCTTTCAAAATTAATATTTCATGCCATTACTTTTGAATAGAATTATTTCTTTATTTACAATCTTTCAAAATTAATGTTTCATGCCATTACTTTTGGAATAGAATTATTTCTTTATTTACAATCTTTCAAAATTAATGTTTCATGCCATTACTTTTGGAATAGAATTATTTCTTTATCTACAATCTTTCAAAATTAATGTTTCATGCCATTACTTTTGGAATAGAATTATTTCTTTATTTACAATCTTTCAAAATTAATGTTTCATGCCATTACTTTTAGAATAGAATTATTTCTTTATTTACAATCTTTCAAAATTAATGTTTCATGCCATTACTTTTTTTTTAGAATTATTCTTTATCTACAATCTTTCAAAATTAATGTTTCATGCCAGTACTTTTGGAATAGAATTATTTCTTTATCTACAATCTTTCAAAATTAATGTTTCATGCCATTACTTTTGGAATAGAATTATTTCTTTATCTACAATCTTTCAAAATTAATGTTTCATGCCATTACTTTTGGAATAGAAATATTTCTTTATTTACAATCTTTCAAAATTAATGTTTCATGCCATTACTTTTGGAATAGAATTATTTCTTTATCTACAATCTTTCAAAATTAATGTTTCATGCCATTACTTTTGAACCATTTTAAGCATTTATAAAAAATTTGGAATCGTCAAACAGACGATGCCAAAATATAGAACTTATGAACAAAGTTTCAAACGAAACGCGTCTTTGATTAAGAAAATCATTTTCATTTTTTTTTTTTTAACTGTAGGTGTGGGTGTACCCTCTACATACACTCAAGATACAGAGAAACACTCATAACAGACACACACACACACACACACACACACACACACACAAACACACACACACATATATATATATATATATATATATATATATGTGCAATCTAATTTAATTAAAACTGTCTAGGTTTTTTGAAATCTTTCTGTGTATCGATACTTATATATAATCTATCTTATGTTTCCTGGATCGAAAATCATTTGATGAATTAAATTGGATTAATTAGACGTCAGCCTGTTTGTTGTAAGCATTATAATAATGCTAATTCAATATATTTAATTATATTTTCACGATATATAACAGTTTCATTTATTCCCAAATCTAATTTTGCACTCATATCTATCCTTCTATCTGAGTCTAAACATCTATCTATCTATCTATCTATCTACCTATCTATCTATATATATATATATATATATATATATATATATATATATATATATAAATCATAATCTAATCATAACGAGCTATTTATTTTATGTTTATGACTATCTATGTCTCTATAAAAATATATATATACATACCTTTTTTCAAATCTATGAATCTACTTTAAGATATCTATCTATCTATCTATCTATCTATCTATCTATCTATCTGAGTCTAATCATCTATCTGTCATAGTCTATTCATAACTAGCTATTTATTTTATGTTCAGGACTATCCCTCTCTCTGTCTCTGTCTCTCTATCTCTCTGTCACTCTCTCTCTCTGTCTCTGTCTTTCTTTCTCTCTCTCTCTCTCTATGTATATATATATATATATTTTTGTTCAAATCTATGAATCCATTTTAATCTATCTATCTATCTATCTATCTATCTATCTATCTATCTATCTATCTATCTATCTATCATAGTCTATCACATCTAACTAGCTCATAAGTATACACACACACACACATATATATATATATATTGTTTAAATCTTCGAATCTATTCGTATCTCTCTATCTATCTATATCAGTGTAATCCTATATTTATTCATCTATCTATCGATCTATCATAGTCTATTCATCTATCTAGCTATTTAGCTTATGTTCATGACTATCTATCTATATATATATACATATATATATATATATATATATATATATATATATATATATATATCTTTTTCAAATCTATGAATCCATTTTAATATATCTATCAAACTATCTATCTATCAATCTATCATAGTCTGTCATATCTGTGTAGCTCATAGGTATATCTATATCTATCTATCTATCTATCTATCTATATATATATATATATATATATATATATTGTTGAAATTTTCGAATCTATTCCTATCTATCTATCTATCTATCTATCTATCTATCTATCTATCTATCTATCTCCTATTTAGTTGAGGAGACCCAATCTTCTCGATCAAATCTATTTCCATAAGTTAATTAGCCTTTATTAAGTCACATTGTTTTTGCAATCATCGTATTACAGTCGAAATCATATCATTGTAAATGCACTCCCGCCAGTAGATATTGCCATCTGCCATCTTGCGCATGTCGACCTTTTGGAATCAATATCTTCGGAACAGGAACATGCCAGTCGTGTCAGCTCTGCCAATATCAGATGAAACAGTACTTTTTTTTATCTTTCCAACGTAGGATTTGCTGTAAAACTCACTGTCAATATTCAGCCATTTCATCACTTCCAATATTGAAATGTTTTTGTATTCGCTTCATTTTCAGTATTAACAGCCATACATACACAAAATAATAATAAATAATATTTCGAAGAATCTGTCTGCCTCTTAAGATGCCGCCGCGAACACCTGACATCCTTGGCAGTTCGGAAGATGGCAGCATTGCATAGAACAGGCCATGTGCTTGGGTAAGTGTTGGGTCTTTGAAATGCATTGTCTTGAACCAAAGAGTTGGGTTTTCAGTACCTGGCTACAGTAGTGTTAGGCAAAAACTAGGAGAGTTACTAAAGGGAGATAACTGTTACTGAGATACCCGGAAAAGGCATGGCAGTGAAACTAGAACAATCTACCCCTGTGATGAAATAAAGGGTTCAGTTTGAAATTTCAATCAATTGAAGAAGGCTGGAGTGTACAACGGCCGAAACGTCGGAGAATATGGCAATAACAATGAGGACGACAGTTCGTACAATGTAAATAATTTAAATAGCTAGCAAGACTTTTCTACTTGTCTTTTACGGCTTTTTTTTTAAATTATAAACTGATGACATTTAGCCTCGGGTATAACTCCAAACATTACAGGTTCTCGTAATCTAGAGTACAAACAGCAAGCTTTATCCATAGCAGTTAAGGAAGAACATCACAAAAAAAAAACCTCAACAGCCTCAAGCCTGTATGGTTTATAGAGCATTGGCTCACCTTGACCCAGAGTGTCGCGAGTTCAATACCTGACTGAAGCAGAGGTGAACAAAAAAGAGTGTTAAACTGATACTGAAACTAGAACATTCTAACCCTGTATACGAAATAAAGAGTTCATTTTGAAATTCCAATCACCTGAAGAAGGCCGGAGCATCAACAGCCGAAAGGTCGTGAATATGACAACGAAGATGAGGACAAAACTCCAAACAATGTAAATATTTAATAATAATAATAATCTATATGAATAAAAGAAAAACTGATGCTGTGTCATGCTGATGACTTTCTATGTATAGTGGGGGGAAATAAATATTCGTACACTTAAAAAATTGTATTTTTATAATTGTAAAAGCCTTAACTAAAACAAATTTTGATACATTATATGTTAGAAATCGTTCTGTAACTGTCCATCTCTCCAAAGAGACAAAATGTGTTGTTTTTCTGAAATAGTCAATTCTTTACTTTTAGGTAATATTAGAACCTTCTCGCAAGACTAGAAATTGCAGAATGCTCTGGTAATAGCTAATAGCGTTAACTATAATTACTGATAACATTACTGGAACATTCTAGAATATAGTTTTTTCATAATTAATTGATTATTTTATTCTAATAATTGATTTGTACGAATACTTTTTTCACCAGATAGAATTTTAAAAAATGCATTAATTTCTGTTAGAATAAGAATTAATTAAGTTTATTATTATTTTTTTAATAGTATGTGTCTTTATACATAAAATGTGCCGAGATTTGTTTTATTTAAGGCTTTTACATTTATAAAAATACAATTTTTCAAGTGTACGAATATTTATTTCCCCCACTGTATGACTGTAATTTTTTGTTATGTTTGACTGTTTTTTAATGAGCTTGTGCCCTTTAATCCTATGGGGTCCAATCTACTCCATTGTGTCACATATTCAATGGATCTACCAGAAGATTTGCTGACATGCAGCATCATATTGGTGATTATGATTACAGCGTTTCGAACATTGTACGCCCTGTCCTTCATCAGATGTCTACCCAAAGTTTAGTTCAATCTGCGAGTGTAGACAGTCTGGATCCCGTTGTCCATGCTTACGGATACCCAGTATCATTTCATTTTACCTATTCATGACGGTAGAGAGCCAGTGACGTTGGTGCATAAAATGAGGACAAAAATTTGTCACGATGTCGGAGTTCATGCCTTTCGCTAATGTTAAAAATTGCGTCCTGCATTTGCTCACTGTAATGGTAATTGTAATAATAGTTTTATTATTATATAATAACATTCACTTTTTATGCTGGGTAGGGGTGGGAATTGGTAAATATTTATTTATTCAAGGAAGGTGCCGTAGTTTTTTCTTACTCAATCTCCTCCAAGAGAAATGTCGGAGTGAATTACAAAGAGAGACTTATTTTAACTGTGAACGCTGTGATGTTAATTTTTAAAGCACGCTTGAAGACGATCTGTTACAGTTATTTTATTTCAAAAATTAAATTAAATTTCTCCTTTGTCACTCTAGAATCGTTTTTAAAACTCACGTCGCAATGTAAGTGAGATAACCATATATATATATATATATATATATATATATATATATATATATATATATATATAAAACATATATGTGTGTGTGTGTGTGTATGTGGGTGTGTGTGTAACGAATGCATTTATAATTGCAAGTTGATTCTGATTCCACAGAATTGGGTTGGGTGTGAAAAAGTATTTGTTGTTAACATTCTTTTTTAATTCGGTTTTTTCCAGTTACGAGTCCTTTTTTAAAGCTGATCGTTTTATGTTCATTTTGTTTAGTTCTTTTTTTTCGTAACAGATTTAATGTTTAGTATAGAGCTTTTCAAAAATTCGCAGTGTGAGATAGGCAAGAAGTAAGGCATGTAGCAACATCAGCACAGCAAAGGGCAATTTTTTAAAGAATTAAAGGGCAAAAATATTTTAAGTCAAGTGATAGCGATTGCTGTATGAGTCGTACGATTTTTGAATCAAGCCCGGGCAATGCCGGGTCATGCTGCTAGTTGGTAAATATTTATTTATTCAAGGAAGGCGCCGTATTTTTTTTCTTACCCAAGTATTTTCACCCGAGAGCAATGTCGGAGTGAATTACAAAGAGTGACTTATTTTAACTGTGAACGCCGTGATGTTAATTTTTAAAAATTTAAATTAAATTTCTCGTTTGTCACTCTAGAATCGTTTTCAAAACTCACGTTGCAATGTAAGGGAGATAATAACGGCGTAGTTCGAGCGGTGGCTATTGATATATCGAAGGCTTTTGATAGAGTTTGGCCTGCCAGCCGACGTAAGCTTCAGGGATTACAAGATAATTATTTGATGTAATCCAATCATTCCTGTCAAACCGTGGAATGAAGGACGTCCTGAACTGGTTCTCCTGCAGTTCCTTTCATACGAACGCTGATGTTCCCCAAAGCGCTGTTTCTGGTCCTTCACTGTTTCTGATCATCAACAACGATCTTCCTGATGTCATCAGTTCTCAAGTAGGCATCCTTACAGACGAAACTTCCATTTACTTCGGTCTAGATAGTAAATCCGACATTGCAGTTAACCTGGCCGTTGGTCTCGAAAACGACGTTCAATCTGGGGTTAACTGGGGCAAGAAATGGCTTGTAAATTTTAATCCCTCCTAAACGAAACCGCTCTCATTTACCCAGCATAGAGAAACTTCCCTGTCTCCTCACAATGGATGATGCTCAACTTCACGACAGCGTCTCAATGCGCCTTCTTGGTCTCACGTTTTCCACTGAACTGAGGTGGAAGAACTACATTGAATCAATAGCTGCATCTACTGCAAGGAAAGTTGGTTCACTGTGTCGTGGCAGAAGTTTTTCTCGTCTGAGTCCATCCTCCACATCTACAAATCTATCATTTGGCAATGCATGGAATACTGTTGCCATATATGGACTGGTACTCCCGCTGTTCATCTCGAGTTTCTCTACAAAATCCAAATCCAATGCAATGCGATCGGTCCTGACTTGGGGGTCTCTACGCCAGTCACTGTCCCCACAGACGTGATGCGGCTTCCCTCGGTCTTTTCTACAAATATATCATGGTAACTGCTCTGACGAGGTATTTTCACTGGTTACCAAACATCAGGAATTTAAGCGTGCTACTAGGCTGTCCTCTCGGTTCTTTTTTACTGTCGAAACAGTTAAATGTAACCGCCACTTCTACTCCAGCAGCTTTTTCTCTCGCACTTGCCGACAATGGAATTCTCTTCCGCTTATTTGCTTCCCTGATAACAATAATCTTCAAAAATTTAAATGTAATGTCAATCGATATCTTCTGATGCCTTTATCCTCCTTATTCTTTTTATCCTTTTCTCCATCCCCACTATACTCAATCGTTCGTTTCTCTTATTTCACCCGACTTTTTTTCACACGTTTTTTACGGACTTCATCAAGTATACGTAAAATTAACGAAGTCTGAGAATTTAGAGAGGATATGAGTTCTGACATATGTATCATTTTAGTTTCCTATTTTAACCCCAGTGTGTCCTTATCGCTCCACCCTTTAACCACCTTTATCTAGAGACGAGACGCGTTAAATTTGAGCAACATCCAGCCGACACACTGGGGTTAAAATAGGAAACTAAATGATACATATGACACACTTTTGAATATATCCTCTCTTCACCTTGAATTCCTCACTTCGTTAATTTTACGTAGACTTGATGAGGTCCGTAAAAAACGTGTGAATTTTTTTTTTTCATTTCAGCTTTTGGAAATAAAGTCTGATGATCCAGAACCCTGTTAAAGGGGTTATGGTGAAATAGCTTATTACACGGAATCTTAACGTGGTCTGTCTTTTATTCAAACATATATATATATATATATATATATATATATATATAAAATTATGATAAATATTGGTAAACATTACATGCACTGAAAAACTAATAAATGTTGTTCAGTTTTGATTGGTTGCTTTTTATATAAACTGCCTCGAGAATATTTTTCTTTTTTTTATTTTCGTGGTATAGTATACTGCTATTGTCAACAATTATTTTTCTTTACTGTGGAGATGGACTGTATGTGCCTTTAAATGTTGTACAATAGAACTTGAATGTGATATGTGTAGTGTAAGCCTTCTTGATAATGTTGTCGTCGTGGAATCACCATATACATTAATGTTTTTTTTTTCAGAGATACAATCTCCCAAAGGACATTTAATCTGGTATACAATGTTAGACTTTTACAAAACACTAGCTGACGGCGAAGCGTTATCTAGAATGATTAATTTGGTTGTGTTAAATTTAGTATAATATATAATTAGTATAATATATGTATGGGATCTTACCCATAATAATAATGGACTGTTCCATACTTAATAAATACTGCACCTCAGGAGTAGGCAAGGAGTCAATAGTTCAAGTCGAGTCAAGAGTCGAGTCAGAGGCAGTCCGAAACAGAGTCGCGTTCTGACAATTACTACAAGACATTGGAATAGTGATACTGGTGGCGACTACATTGTTCTCTCTACTAAACCTGATTGTTCATACTAACACTTCTACTTCTCTGTATATATTCCTGTTTGTAATATATCTGTGTTATTCCATACCTGTGTTCGCGTTCTTCTTTATTGGTTCTACCTTGGACTATCACCGTGGTACAAGGAACCGGACCATAACAATATATAATTAGTGTTATTTTTTTTAATTGGATAAATGGAGAACATACTTTTTACGATTTTTTCATCTTGTTTATAATTAGAATATATTTGCTTATATCTTAATCAGTCTTAAAGAAGCACCCTTATATATAATCCGTCTTAATGAAACACCCTTATATATAATCCGTCTTAATAAAACAGCCTTTATTTGCTTACGTATTGCAGGCTTATTTGTGGAGTTTTCTGTTCTTTTTTTATTTATGTTAATATTTCTAAAGGCTGTAATTTGTTAAACAACGATTTAACTAGGAAAGTCATTAATGAAAATTTTTTAAATTTTTTTTTAATGTAGGAAGATTTTTTTTTCGTGGAAGAGCTAACATTTGCACCGTTTATTATATTTTGCATAATAAATCTTTTGTAATAGACAAGGAATTAACTCTTATAGTTCACAGTGCACGTGTTTATATTAGTTTTTTTTTAATATATATATGGGGAGCTATATATTAGCAAAATTAATGTTAAATTAAAAAAACATGTGAGGCGCACTTTACCGTTTAGCAATTCAACTTATGTTTTTGTTGCTGTAATTACATATGGGTATGAAAGAGAGGGGCAATATGAAAATGCAAAAGTCATTTATAGTCATGCATAGGTAGGAAACGATGAAAATACTGGGATGTTGAATTTTAAAACATTTAAATTAATTCTTGTCTATGAGTGTATAGTTATCTAATTTAGTTATTTTTTGTTTGTTTATGTTTTTATCACATTTGTTAAGTAATCCACACTGTATTAATAAAAGATTTGACAATACAGGTGACATGCAAAAAAAAAAAATAAATAAAAAAGGACATCGAAATTTACTCCGGCTGTTCTAGCGGTTGAAGCACTTTCTATAAAGTTTCGTTTTAGTAACCCTATAACTGGAGTGGCTCTCGACACTATATCGGGTGAACCAGATTGTCAAAAAAAATTGAAACAAACAATCAAATATTACCGGGTTAAAAAATAAGGCCCAAAACATGTCAGCCGAAAAAGAAAAAAAAAGTTAAAGAGAGGACTGAATACATTTTTGAATAAGGTATAAGAAATATCTGAAAACGTTTTATTTCCTTCTTCTAAAACTCTACACCCCCAAATGAAATTAAAAAAAAATGAAGAAACTTTGCTGACCCCATTTTGCCTAAGGCCTCCCCCCATCTGCAAGAATCTAATTATTTTATAGAATTGGATGCGAAAGCAAAGTTCGGAGAGAAACGAATCCTAACAATGAAATTAATTACGAGTTTATGTTTTGTATACAGGCGAGGACGCGCACATGTAGGCATTTGTACGGAGAGAGGACATTACTAATTGGATTCTGTCAATAGATTTTCTACAGTGGTTATTTCAAATCAATTAATTGGACGTAAATATGGATTCAAATAATGTATTGATGAAGCAGACGAGCGTGTTTATTTGGCGAACGCCTTTAATTTTAATTAATAGTTTATTCGTTACGAGAATTAGTTTTTTTTAATTATTTTATTTTTGGTTACAAATTGCCGTAGTGCTTGCAAAAGCAATTTATATCAATTCACAATACTTAGGAAGTAGCTCTCCTTTCTCTACACTCACTGACTCTCCCTCTCTCACTATCTATCTATCTTTCTATCTATCTATCTATCTATCTATCTATCTATGTTCATATCTCTCTTATTGGTTTAAATCTAATTCTCTCCCACTTTTTCTCTCTCTCTTAGTCAATTTATCTATCTATCTATCTATCTATCTATCTATCTATCTATCTATCTATCTATCTATGTTCATATCTCTCATATTGGCTTAAATCTCACTCTCCCCGACTCTCTTTATCTCTCTGTCTCTGTCTCTCTCTCTCAGTCTCCCTCTCTCTCTATCTGACTAGCGAGCCATGTATCTCAGTCTGTATCTATCTATCTCTCTATCTATCTATCTATCTATCTATCTATCTATCAGTCTGTTCATATCTTTCAGTCTGTTCATCTATCTGGCTTTCTTTTACTCAACAAGTCCATATCGATCTTAGAATATTCTTATCTATCTATCTATCTGATTAGCGAGCTCCCTATATGTATGACCATATCTATCTTTTTATCGATATTAGAGCGTTCATATCTATCTATCTATCTATCTATCTATCTATCTATCCTATCTATCTATCTATCTATCTGACGAGCTGGCTCCCTATGTAAGTATGACCATATCTATCTATTTATCTATATTAGAGCGTTCATATCTATCTATCTATCTATCTATCTATCTATCTATCTATCTGACTAGCTAGAAGTATGTCCATATCTATGTATTTATCTATATTAGAATGTTCATTATCTATCTATCTATCTATCTATCTATCTATCTATCTATCTATCTATCTATCTATCTCAGTCTGTTTATATCTATCTCTATTCATATCTATCTAAGCGTATATATATATATATATATATATATATATATATATATATACATATATATATAAGATTCTCGACTCTCCCGTCGAATCTGACGTATGAGGGTCAAGCAGATAAATTCCTAAAGAACCAACAGCCCGACAACAGCACATGAGATTTGATTATAGTGGTGAAGGTTTTGTGCAGAACCTTCCAGGCATTTTGTAGGGCCGAATATATACTCTTATATATATATATATATATATATATATATTGGCCAATAATTTTTGTTGGCTTTCACGAGGAGAGAATACGTAGTAGTGTACTTCGTCCTCAAATCTATTGTCGATATGTTGACCATTCTCTCTTTTCTTAATGGTATTCTAGTACATCGGCCACCGACAACTTTTCTCACCTAAGTTTATATGGAAAACAAACATTTGCGTTGGCATTCCTTTTGTTCTAGAAAACGGAGGATAAACATAATTAGAACCCTGGTTCATAGGGCATTAATGATATGTACAGAGTCTTTCTTGGATGATGAAATCAATTTTGTAAAGGAAACCTTATGTAGTTTAGGGTATCCCCCACCCCGATACTGTTCGTTCGGTCATTCGGAACAAGATTGTGGAGTTCAGAAAGGTTAAACTTTGTACTGTTAAAAGATTCCCTGATTAGCTTAGACTACCCTTTCCAAGTGTGAAAGCATAACTAGGCAGATTTCAGCTAATGTTCGTTGTTGTTTTTTTTCTCGGCTGAGGTCCGTATAGTTTTCCAAACCCGGCCTATGCTTCAAGGATGCTATCTCTCCCCCCATCAAATTCTAATTTTTACAAATATAATTGTAGTTGCGGAGAACTGCTCAACGCTTGGACATGACAATCAAAGAATATGTTCTCACTAAGATCAGGAATTCCACCTGGACGTGCCCCAAATATCTATGGTTCTGCCATATGTGAGCAACTCTTAAATAACAATAATAATAATTTTAGTCCTGACTGGTTCACTGTTGTGTCCCGATTTCACTCTCTGTTTCATCACAAGTTGCTGGAGTCACTTTATATTGGGTCCCGCAAGCCTTCCCTCTGTAAACAGCGTGAATGTTTGTTGGGGTTCGCTGTTATTTGTCTCTAGCTCTTTGTGTTAATGTTTTGTTTTTCTCCTCTTCATTTTCCTGTTGTTTTAATCTAAGTTAAATCTCCCGTAGAGGCCTGAAGAGCGGGAGCGAAACCGATTGCTCCGTTTTTAAAAATGTCATGTAATATTAAGCTATACACGTTCATTTCTTTAATTAAATCTTGTACCTTTAAAAATATTTTCAAATATATATATATATATAATAAATCTCTCATCTATTTTCACACATCAGGTTCAAACAAACTTATTCAGTTTCTATGCTTGTGTCGTGTATGACACTTCATTCCTTCTCGTGACCTGCATATGTGTCCACATATTGTACAACATCGAGGATCTCGGGACATAGGGACAGGAATATTTGTTAAAGCTTTTCATTGCTGACTTTCGAAATTTCTGATACCACTCTGGCACAAAGTTAGTATGAGGCACGTTGACAGCTAAGACGTTACTCATTAGCTGGTCTTTACAGTTGAGCCACGGTCGTCTTACGGTTCTTTGTTCACTGTGAAGCTGGCTATACGTTAACACCTTAGGTATTCTGTCGTCACTAATCCTTGACCGACCGTGGGAAGCTACCTAGTCCTCTGCACCAGGTAAGTCCCAATTCTAACAATGTTGTGTATTTGCAAGAAGATCAGCATTGGACACCCTATCTTAAAAAGGCTATCCACAGCTTGCGCAGAGACACCTTGGATGAAGACAGCCAGCTGGTTGATATGAGACCTATATAGGTCTCATATCAACCAGCTGGCTGTCTTTATCCAAGGTCCCTATGTCCCAATATCCTCGCTGTCTCCACGATTCTGAGCCGTACAGCAGTGTGATCAAAACGGCTGTTCTATAAACCCGATATATATATATATATATATGTGTGTGTGTGTGTGTGTGTGCTTGCGTGTGTTTGTGTGTTTGTGTGTGTGTTGTTAATATATATATATATATATATATATATATATATATATATATATATGTTAACCATGTTTGCCGCAGTCTCTGAATATGGAATCCAGTGAAGTCCTTAATCTGTTCGATATCAGAGGTCGGCAGTGAAGATTCAGAGAAAGTAGCGGTTGTTAACTAATTCTTTAAGTCTTCGATATCAGGTTGGCAGTGCAGACATTTTGGGAGAAAAAAAAAAAATGGCTGCCTTTATACACGTCGCATTGAATATTTTCAGCTTTCTGATTGGTTAACCCTTCTATTGGTGAACTATAAAATGAGTCAGCTCATTTTGGCTGGCTCCCTAGTACATATATACACAAACAACTGTTTTTATGTATGTGTTGTTGTTTATATATATATATATATATATATATATATATATATATATATATATATAACCCAAGTATATGATTGGTGTATATGGAATAAATTACAATAATCAACAAATACTATTCTTAAAAGCGTGGACAATACAGAGTAGAGCAAATATAATTACTTATTCGAAAATTATAACATAAATATGCTATAAAATCACTACAAAAATAGCCATTTTGTTTCAACACTCCTGATTTCTTATCAAGTGATGGTGTTGAATCAACACCATCACTTGATAAGACATCAGAAGTGTTGGAAACAAAAATGGCTATTTTGTAGTGATTTTATAACATATTCATGTCATAATTTTTGAATAAATAATTATATATATATATATATATATATATATATATATATCTTGCTTTTTAAGCCTTACCATGTCATGTTTTTTTCTTCTCAATTTCCAACAGACACTTCAGTTCATCTTTTCTTTCTAGAATCTTTCTCTTCTCATATTTTCCTTCTTATTTTTTTATCCTTCCTCTTTCTTTCTTTTTTTTTCATTTCTGTTTTGTCTTTGTCCTTTTTCGTCATTCTTTTTTTCGTGTTTTTTTTTATTTCTTTATAATTTTCTCTTCTTACTTTCCAACATTTTTTCTGTAATACTCCTTTCTCATTCACTTGCTTATCTTTTCTTTACCACCCGCATGATCTGCGATCAAATGTAGCACCTGTTCATCTATAATGACAATGATAATATTAGCTGTTTCTTAAAAGGAAATATACAGAATTCATTTATCGAGTAGTCAGGGAAATTTCGGGAGAGTAGCATAATAGAATATCAAAGAAATGTACCGAATAACAGAAACGACGTCGGTTGGTTGACTATCATCATCAGCAGCAGCAACAAAGTAAATTGTTAGCATTGGAATCTCGAAGGGAAATAATGACCTAATCAAGAAGTTGAGATTCCACACTGCTTCGAAGAAATGGTTAGGAAGAAAAAAAATAATCAACCACTACAGGGAAGAGGGATAACAGCTATTCGTCCTGATAAACGGTTGTATAGGAATAAATTGTCGTTGCCGACACCGTAGTTTGAACACAGATCGCCAGTGAGCAAACACAGACGATTCCATTATTAATTAAGTAGAACACGTGACCGTAAAGGAAAAAGTATAAATGGGAATTAGCGTGACGTCTAAGTTATCGCTATTCTCTATGCCATCTACTATACTGTCTCTTTATATTGATCATTATACGGATTTATATTGATCATTATACGCATTGATATTAGTATTACTAGTGAGAGTATTATTTGAAGGCTTTGATAATACTTTCAACAATTTAGAATGATTTGGATGCAAGGCAATCCTGAAACAAATTAACTCACTATCTTTGTTGTAATGATTACTATGATTGTAAATGTTGTAATGATTTACTATGATTGTAAATGTTGTTTAATACTGTTTATTATAAAACAGAGCATTTACTTAAATATTTGTATCTATCTATCTATATATATATATATATATATATATATATATATATATAAACATAAAAATGTCTTAAAACAATTGTCTGACTTCGTCTATTTCATAATGTGTGACGTCATTTGTTTACATTTGATACGCTATGAGCAGATGTGAATATACGTGAGAGATTCATGGATGATTGAAGATTACAAGCAGTAAATTCGACCTTGCTAACCAAACAATCCTCTGTGGCCGAATCGGTTAAAAGGCACGTCAGGCTATATGACCGTTCCGTATAGGATACAGGTTCGAATCCTGTCGGAGGAAGAATATTTTCTATGACAATTTTTCGGACATTCGGTAAATGTTGTTTAATACTGTTTATTATAAAACAGAACATTTACTTAAAGATTTGTATCTATAAGAAGAATGTTAAACATAAAAATGTCTTAAAATAATTGTCGGACATTGTCCATTTCAAGATGCGTGACGTCATATATATATATATATATATATATATATATATATATATATATATATATATATATAGGTGGCCATTCGCATTCAAGGATACCTGTCTACTAGGGCGGCTAGCCAATCCTTATTGCAGACGCTCGCTCAGGTACGTTTGTCATTGACCAACACCCACAGAGCTCACCTGTGGTTTATACTGCAACTAGCCTGAGCAGGCCTTTCTTACAATTTAAGAGAGGAGCGTGTTATCTAGCTGATCATCAATCTGAACAAGGTGAGCATACTCAAACCCTCGGTCACGATGACTTGCGACTTCGTGCGAGCACAGCTATCTACGGCCCCCTAGTGTTCCGTCAACCTAATTTCATTCGCAAGGCATGGGTCAGCTCGTGACCTCCAGACCGATAACTTCAGGAAGTCTCCTTCCTGTCAAATCAAACGTAGTGAGATTCGAAAGCGAACGTTCTAAGCACTCGTCCCATAGATATAGTTTTACGGTATGCATGTTATTTTTGAATTCAATTGGTTATATACATATATAGTCATCCACAGACCGACTGTTTCGCTGTATCACAGCTCATCAGTGTGGCTAGACATCCGATTGCTTCAAGTCAGGATTGAAATCCGACTGATTCGGCAACAGTTAGAGATTTTCCCTTAAGCCACGGTTGAAAGAAAGGCAAATTTTTGAC